TATATAAGAAAGGCAATAAGAAAACCCACGGATAAAATTCCATCATGCATTGCAACACCTGCCACCATAGTGCTGCAAGTTGCTTCTGGACGCTTCTGGAATGAGAGAATCAGCCATCTAGGAAGACGTTGCCCAGGGGACGCCCAGATGTCTTGCAATCCTGTGGGGAGCCTTCTCTCATGTCCCCCCAAGTGGCCAGCTACTGATCAAAGGACATTTAATAGAATGCCAAGTTTGCAAACTTTGTGCTTTCTTTGTTTTTTCTTTGCTTGATTGTTTTTTTAATGCAATACAACTGTTTGGTTCACTCCTGCACAATAAATAAATATCACCACCATAGTTTAAAAACCAGCCTACCCTATGCCACACTTATGAGATTAAAACGAAAACACCACTGCCCCCCAAGGAGGTCACACCAGAGGTCATTACTTTTGAGAAACAATTCAAAGAAAAAAGGCACCCCACAAGTATCATCAATACTGCTATTAGAAAAGTTAAGTTGACAGATAGAAATGATTTACTGAGCGATATGGAGGAAACCTAATGACCGTATTATATGGCCACTTAGGTTAACCACATATTCTCCACACATCAGGAACGCTGTGTCTGAGATTGGCTATTGATTGTGTGATATATTGTTGTTTTTAAGTGTTTTAATTGTTTACCATTTAATTGCTGGTTTTATATGTTATTGTATTTGTGTAGGCACCAAGATGTGCCTTTTGTAAGCCGCCCTGAGTCCCCCCTCGGGGGTTGAGAAGGGCGGGGTATAAGTACATGAAATAATAAATAAATAAATAAAATAATTAGAAAGCACTGACACTTGGTCAGTGACACTCCAGGATGCAAGAATGTACCAATGATAGCCAACAAACGAACCCAGAATCTTAGGGATATGATGATCAGATCTGACTTCACAACCCCTTTATTTACTATCAGCAAATCTAATCTTAGGGGCCACACAAGTTGTGGGCATTGGGCATATTGCATTCAATCTCTTAAAGTAAAACAGTTCTCACACCCCAACAGTTCTCACACCCCAACAACTTTGTAGTTTCACCAACTGCAATACAGAGAAAGTGATGTATGTCATACAATGTCCATGTTCACTGCTATATGTAGGCATGGCCTCCAGACCTTTAAAAATTAGAATTCTTAGAAATAAAACCATTGAATCTACTCTTTATTCCCATTTCAGTGAGAAATCCCACTCACACACTAGCTTCAGATTTGGCGCTTTTTAGGAAAGGTAACCACACAACCCCATCAAGATTTACAGAGAATTTTACTTCAGAGAGAGGCTTTTTTGGATATTCAGGTTACATACTGTTTCCCCAGGTGGGTTGAACGATAGATTAGATCTCTCTTGTTTTCTGCTATTGACCTGTATCTTTACAAGGGGAGGCTTCTCCATGGGGTTTTGCTCGCACTTGAAAAACTTGCAGACTCACAGCTGTTGAAAGTCCTTGAGCAGAGCCATTCACTCCCCAGGAGAAAGTAATAAGTGTTTTAATTCCACACAATGATGGTTGTTAATGTAACTGGGTGCTATTATGGCATATCTACTTTTGTTGTCCTTTTGAGCCTAGTTAGTTAATTCCTTAGAAGAGATCAACTTAAATGGATGAAATAGCAAAGAAGTGATAACATTCCAAAAAAGTGATAGCGAGGAACTGTTGAGAACTCACAACATGTTGTGAATGAGAACTTATTGTTTAATGTTTATTACGGATGTTTTTCTTGATGGAATAATTGATGTTTATATAGATTTTGCCCATGGTGTTGATACAATAAAAATCTTACTGTATATAATATATGCATTGTGTAATTCAGTGTTATAATTGGTTTAGTTATTGAACAACTTAACACTTATACATTGATACATAGAGATCTCTTGCTTTATATTTTATACTGTTTAATCCCCACCTTTGGCAAAGGGTCCATTCGGATACGCAGCACATCTCCCTAACTGCAGAGAATGGAAGACAAAGAATGGTGACAACGGTGATGGAAGATTCACATCCATCAGTCGAGATGAACAAATTAACTAAATTGATGAAGTATTTAGAACAGCATTTAAAGGAAATAGAGATGAAAATCATATAGTGAGAGAGAGGCTTATAGACTAGAGTTTGTTGTCAGTTTTGTTCTTATTGTGCAAGGTGCGTCTCCTTCTTCGCTTTATATTTGTTAAGTAGTATCTTTAAAAATGTACCAAAATTATAATTTGTATAAACATACTCTGTTTTGTTTTTCTTTTTTGTCAATGAATAAATACTGTTTTTTTAAAGTGTGATACATAAGCTTTAAGAAGCCATTGTGATTCAAGGCTGTCCCAATGGGAGGGTGAGGTCTAGATCTGGGAAAGTTTGAGCCCACTCTCTTCTAGACGTGGATCAGGCCTCCCCTGGAATGACCCTGCGTCCAGTTCCGGGCTGCACAATTCAAGCAAGATTTTTAGATGCTAGATTGTCTCCAGAGAAGGGCGATAGGGAATGGCTGAGGGAGCTGGGGATGTTTAGTTTGGAGGGGGTGGGGGGAGGCAACAAGAGAGCCAATATTTGGAAGGATGTCCCATTGAGGAAAAAGGGGCAGGTTTTTCCTTTCCCATCTAGACACTAAAATATAAAGCAACTGATTCACACTGCAGGAAAGAACTTTCCACCTAAACATTAGGAAGCATTTCCTGGTGGGAAGAGCTGTGCAGGCACGGAAGCGTTGTCTCTTCTCAGGACCCTCCCTTCCCAAGCCCTGGCCTTCCACTTCCTGGGGACTCCATGTCCCACAATCCCTGATCTTGGACCAAGGCAGCTGAAGTGTGTTGAAGTCCAAGAAATCTTGGAGGAATCGTTTGGGAATCCCTGCTCCAGAGAGTGGGAGGAATGGCTGTCTTGGACTACAACTCCCAATAAATGCTACAAAAAGTCCTGGAATGGGAGTTGGAGGACCCTGGGAGTTATAATCCAAGACAAAGAGGTCTCCCAAGTCCTTGCAATGAAAGGCTTTCTTCCTCATGGGATTGCATATGTTTGTGTTCATCCATGGAGACAAGGATTTAGAACGAAACAAGGAAAATATGCATTGATTCTCTGCCACCGCTTTACCCTTTACTGGTCATTTCTGATGGCAGCAGTTGATCAAGTATATATTAACCCAATGTCCGAAATGTAATAAAGAGTCCTGTGTTTTTGCATCATGAATCCAAAGTTACTTTTTTGGACTCCAGCTCCCATAATCCCTTCCCACAAGAAGACTTCAAAGGTCTTGGAGGGAGGCCAGGTAAAGGGAGACCCTGGTTGTTTATAGATTTGGGGAATTTGGGTTGTTCTGGGTCTTGGGCCTCCTGAGGGGAGGGGGGGACTCCCACTTCTCCTTTTGTATTGATTTCAGGAGAAACCACATATAGCCGGTACGTAGTAATAACTAATTTTTTGTACTCTGCCTCCATCTCCCGGAAGGGACTTGGACTTCCTTACATACGGCACAATGTGCCTGGAACAACGCAAACAATAACGTACAATACAATAAAAGAGAAAACCACAAGAATATATAAAACAAGTACTTCTACTTAAAACAGCGCCCAATAACCTTAGGTACCTGGTGAGGTTCCACTAAATCAGATCGGCCAGGACAGGGAACAAAGTTATTCAGGTTTGAAGGCCGACAACAGAGGTTCATCACAATGTGGCCAAAATGGATACCACTCGAAGATGCACAAGCATAACTTCACAGCGAAAATCATGACTTTCAATACGCTTTCGCAGCTATTCAGACCTTCCACGCCTCCCTCCTGATGGGTTATGATATGAGCCAGCTAGGATCCGCGCCATGATTGGTGGACGTTCCATTGGCATCACAATGGGAAGGAGTGGTTCCCCATGGCAGGAAGAATGGCCAAACAAGGGAAATGTGCATGGATTATCTGCCACCGCTTCAACATGTAGTGGTCACTTCTGATATCAGTGGTTGATCAGGTATATATTAACCTAATGTCCAAAGTGTAATAAAGTTTCCTGTCTTGTTACATTATTAGTCCAAAGTTACTTATTTTGACTCCAGCTCCCATAATCCTTCCCCTCAGGAAGACCTCAGGAGTCTTGGAGGGAGGCCAGGTAAAGAGAGATCCCGGTTGTTTACAGATTTGAGGAATTTATGTTGTTTTGGGCCTCCTGAGGAGGGATGTCCTTTTCCTGGGACTCCCACTTCCTCTCCTTTTGTAGTGATCTCAGTAGAAACCACATATGGCTGGTACGTAGTAATAACTAATTTTTTGGTACTCTGCCTCCATCTCCCTGAAGGGACTCGGGGTGGCTTACATACGGCACAATGTGCCTGGAACAACACAAAAAATAAACATACAAAACAATAAGAGAGAAAACCACAAGCATATAAACAATTCCTTAGACTTAAAACAGGGCCCAATCACCTTAGGTACCTGGTGAGGTTCCACTAAGTCAGATTGGTCAGGACAGGGAACAAAGTTATTCGGGTTTGAAGGCCAACAACAGAGGTTCATCACACTTTGGCCAAAATGGAGGCCAGGCCCAAGTTACCACTCGAAGATGGACAAGCGCACCTTCAGAGAGAAAAGCATGACCTTCAATACACTTTCACAGCTCTTCAGGCCTCCCACGCCTCCCTCCTGATTGGCTGTGAGCCTCCCTGCCTCCCTTGCCAGCCCTCCCTCCTTGCCAGGGACCCCCCCTGCCTCCCTCCCCAGGCTGGGCCAGGAAGGAGAGAGAGGCCAGGCCCCTTCGGGAGGAGCTGCGGTCTAGCTCTGCCTCCCAGCCTCCTTCCTTCCTGCAGCGCGGCTCCTTTAAGGCCAAGCCCCGCCCCTCTTTGGGCGGACGCCTCCTCCTCCCGCCATGACAGCGCCGGGCGGAAGTAGGGCTTCTGGGTGACGTCACGGCCAGGCCGTTGGAGAGAGAGGGAAAGGGGGGGAGGCCTCCGCGCGCGGGCGGAAGTGAGAGCGGCGCTTCTTCCGGTTGGGCCTAGCCGAGGGAGAGGCAGCCACGTTTCTTCCCAGGTGGATCAGCGGGATCCTCCCGCGTGGGAGTGGAAGGGGAGGGGAGAAGGGCCTACTCCTTCTCTCCTTCCTTTCTCCCTTCCTTACTTCATCCATCCTTCTTCCCTTCCTTCCTCTCTTCATTCCGCTCTTCCTTCCTTCTTCCCTTCCTTCATCCCTTTCTTCCTTCTCTCCTTCCTTTCTCCCTTCCTTACTTCATCCATCCTTCTTCCCTTCCTTCCTCTCTTCATTCCGCTCTTCCTTCCTTGTTCCCTTCCTTCATCCCTTTCTTCCTTCTCTCCTTCCTTTCTCCCTTCCTTACTTCATCCATCCTTCTTCCCTTCCTTCCTCTCTTCATTCCGCTCTTCCTTCCTTCTTCCCTTCCTTCATCCCTTTCTTCCTTCTCTCCTTCCTTTCTCCCTTCCTTACTTCATCCATCCTTCTTCCCTTCCTTCCTCTCTTCATTCCGCTCTTCCTTCCTTCTTCCCTTCCTTCATCCCTTTCTTCCTTCTCTCCTTCCTTTCTCCCTTCCTTACTTCATCCATCCTTCTTCCCTTCCTTCCTCTCTTCATTCCGCTCTTCCTTCCTTGTTCCCTTCCTTCATCCCTTTCTTCCCTTCTCTCCCTCCCTTTCTTCCTTCTCTCCTTCCTTTCTCCCTTCCTTACTTCATCCATCCTTCTTCCCTTCCTTCCTCTCTTCATTCCGCTCTTCCTTCCTTCTTCCCTTCCTTCATCCCTTTCTTCCTTCTCTCCTTCCTTTCTCCCTTCCTTACTTCATCCATCCTTCTTCCCTTCCTTCCTCTCTTCATTCCGCTCTTCCTTCCTTGTTCCCTTCCTTCATCCCTTTCTTCCCTTCTCTCCCTCCCTTTCTTCCTTCTCTCCTTCCTTTCTCCCTTCCTTACTTCATCCATCCTTCCTCTCTTCATTCCGCTCTTCCTTCCTTCTTCCCTTCCTTCATCCCTTTCTTCCTTCTCTCCTTCCTTTCTCCCTTCCTTACTTCATCCATCCTTCTTCCCTTCCTTCCTCTCTTCATTCCGCTCTTCCTTCCTTGTTCCCTTCCTTCATCCCTTTCTTCCCTTCTCTCCCTCCCTTTCTTCCTTCTCTCCTTCCTTTCTCCCTTCCTTACTTCATCCATCCTTCTTCCCTTCCTTCCTCTCTTCATTCCGCTCTTCCTTCCTTCTTCCCTTCCTTCATCCCTTTCTTCCTTCTCTCCTTCCTTTCTCCCTTCCTTACTTCATCCATCCTTCTTCCCTTCCTTCCTCTCTTCATTCCGCTCTTCCTTCCTTGTTCCCTTCCTTCATCCCTTTCTTCCCTTCTCTCCCTCCCTTTCTTCCTTCTCTCCTTCCTTTCTCCCTTCCTTACTTCATCCATCCTTCTTCCCTTCCTTCCTCTCTTCATTCCGCTCTTCCTTCCTTCTTCCCTTCCTTCATCCCTTTCTTCCTTCTCTCCTTCCTTTCTCCCTTCCTTACTTCATCCATCCTTCTTCCCTTCCTTCCTCTCTTCATTCCGCTCTTCCTTCCTTGTTCCCTTCCTTCATCCCTTTCTTCCCTTCTCTCCCTCCCTTTCTTCCTTCTCTCCTTCCTTTCTCCCTTCCTTACTTCATCCATCCTTCATTCCTCCCTTCATCCCTTCCTTCCTCTCTTCCTTCCTTGCTCCCTTCCTCCATCCCTTTCTTCCTTCTCTCCCCCATTCCTTACTTCATTCCTCCCTTCCTCTCTTCTTTCCTTGCTCCCTTCCTTCCTCTCTTTCTTCCCTTCTCTCCCTCCCTTTCTTCCTTCTCTCCTTCCTTTCTCCCTTCCTTACTTCATCCATCCTTCTTCCCTTCCTTCCTCTCTTCATTCCGCTCTTCCTTCCTTCCTTCCTCCCTTTCTTCCTTCTCTTCTTCCTTTCTTATTTAATTACTTTTCCCTCCGGAGGGTGCTTTCGGGAAGCCAGGGGCGAGGGAGGGATGGAGGGAGGGAGGCTGGCCCTGCTTGGGTCATTGGCAGCCTTGTCTCCCTCCCTTTCTCCCTTCTTTCCTTCCCCCTTCCCTTTCTTTATCTCCTTCTTCCTCCTTTCCTTCTCTCCCTCCTTCATCCCTTCATTCCTAGAATCATAGAACCAAAGAGTTGGAAGAGACCTCATGGGCCATCCAGTCCAACCCTATTCTGCCAAGAAGCAGGAATATTGCATTCAAATCACCCCTGACAGATGGCCATCCAGCCTCTGCTTAAAAGCCTCCAAAGAAGGAGCCTCCACCACACTCCGGGGCAGAGAGTTCCACTGCTGAACGGCTCTCACAGTCAGGAAGTTATCCCTCATGTTCAGATGGAATCTCCTCTCTTGTAGTTTGAAGCCATGGCTCCATTGCGTCCTAGTCTCCAAGGAAGCAGAAAACAAGCTTGCTCCCTCCTCCTTCCTGTGGCTTCCTCTCACATATTTGTACATGGCCGTCATCATATCTCCTCTCAGCCTTCTCTTCTTCAGGCTAAACATGCCCAGCTCCTTAAGCCGCTCCTCATAGGACTTGTTCTCCAGACCCTTGATCATTTTAGTCGCCCTCCTCTGGACACATTCCAGCTTGTCAATATCTCTCTTGAATTGTGGTGCCCAGAATTGGACACAATATTCCAGGTGTGGTCTAACCAAAGCAGAATAGAGCATGGGGAGCATTACTTCCCTGGATCTAGGCACTATGCTCCTATTGATGCAGGCCAAAATCCCATTGGCTTTTTTTGCCGGCGCATCACATTGTTGGCTCATGTTTAACTTGTTGTCCACGAGGACCCCAATATCATAGCTGGAAGAGAAATTTGCCAGCATTGATTTTCATTTCCCCTGAATTTTGGATTCTTGAGTCGTATAGTCATCATGGTTAGTAGCAAATGGTTAACAAGCCAGCTTCAGAAAACATGGTTTATTCTGAAACTGATCAGAATTTGGGTTGTTGTAGGTTTTAGAGGCATTCTCTCCTGACGTTTCGTATGCATCTATGGCAAGCATCCTCAGAGGTAGTGAGGAGGCTCCCTGGATGTAGATGAACTGTGGACTCAAACAACGATGGATCTGAACCAAACTTGGCACAAATACACAATATGTCCAAATGTGAACACTGGTGCAGTTTGGGGAAAATAGAACTTGACATTTGAGAGTTGTAGTTGCTGGGATTTATAGTTCACCTACAATCAAAGATCATTCTGAAGTCCACCAACGATGGAATTGAACTGAACTTGGCACACAGAACTCCCATGACCAACAGAGAACACTGGAAGGGTTTGGTGGGCATTGACCTTGAGTTTTGGAGTTGTAGTTCACTTACATCCAGAGAGCACTGTGGACTCAAACAATGATGGATCTGGACCAAACTTGGCACGAATACTCAATATGCCCAAATGTGAACACTGGTGGAGTTTGGGGAAAATAGAACTTGACATTTGGGAGTTGTAGTCAATGCCCACCAATGAGTCGCCCTTGGGCTGAGAATTGCGGTATATAAGAGCAGTAAATAAATAAATAAATAGTTGCTGGGATTTATAGTTCACCTACAATCAAAGAGCATTCTGAACCCCACCAACCATAGAATTGTGCCAAACTTCTACACAGACCCCCAGTGACCAACAGAAAATACTGTATTTTCTGATGGTCTTTGGTGACCCCTCTAACTTCCCCTCACGACCCCCCCAGGGGTCCCAACCCCCAGGTTGAGAAACCCTGGTATAAGGGATGCCAGGACAAATACCAGGTGATGGAGTGGTTTCTAGGGCATTGATATCTCCACCCCGGTTGCATCCCATTGCAATACGGTTGCAATGTGTTTGGGATGGGAAGTTGACCAGCAGTACAACTTTAGGTGATGGGCTTCTGCTTCCTTGACAGTGAAACCAGTGCCCCCAAAGTGCCACGTGCCCCAATCTGTGCCTGTGGGCAAATCTGCCACCCTCCAGTGCCAGGAAAAGGAAGGCTTCCCAGAGCCGACATACAACTGGTACCGCAATGGCGAAGCTTTGCCGCTCGACTCTAAATCCAGCTCCAAATTCCAGAACTCCTCCTTCACAGTGAACACAAAGACAGGCACGTTGGTAAGTAGGCTGTGGCAGTCAAGGTTTTTTTTTACATATTCTGTCTTGAATTAATGCATACTTCGCATAGTCATAAAAAAGTGAGCGCTATATATAAGGGCATCCAAGAAGCATCCAGGTATATTGGCCACCCTTTGGGCCTGTGTTGAGAGCTGTTGCCTAGTGGTTTGAGTGTAAACCCTGGAGACCAGGGTTTAAATCCCCACTTTGCCATGGAAACCTATTGGATGAATTTGGGAGAGTCACACACTCTCAACCCCAGAAAACCCCTTCCACAAGTCAATATATGAACCTGCAAGGACTTTAAGATCATCTGGAGAGGCCCTGCTCTTGGTCCCACCATCATCACAAGTACGGTTAGCAGGAATGAGAGACAGGGCCTTCTCGGTGGTGGCCCCTCAGCTATGGAATGCCCGTCCTAGGGAGATTAGATCGGCTTCCTCACTCCTATCATTTTGGAAGAATTTTAAGACATGGCTATTTGAGTGGCCATTTGAAAATATGGAGTAACTGATATAATAATGGAATAACTATATGGCTGAATTGGACATTGTTTTAATGATTATTGATTGAAGGACTCATACGTACTGCTCTCGAGCCAGGCATTGCCCCCATTCTGTATCTTTGCATTTCGTTTTTCCTGCCAAAGTGGAG